CACCGTACCTTATTAGGCACTAAGGAGATAAATGCCATATGAACTTCTAGTACTCCTTCTTACAAGTGAACTCCTATCTCCTATCATGATCATGCTTACTCTTTTTATCCAAATCACATACTTGCACCCAAACCATAAATTTCTCATATAATAATACTTTCATAAATTTATTATTTTAAAAGTCATTTTCCATACACAAAATCCTCATTTCACAATATGCAATACTTTTAAACACATGTATGCAAAATTAACTATTTACTTATAAACAATTAAGCACTTAATCAGATAGAGTGAATTATTTAGTTACCTCAACCCTTTGTCACAAAAAGGGTTACCCTAGTCTAATATTTTCTCTATAAGGTCCACTCGTGTATTAACACCTAAATAATATTGAATATACACGATTGTATGCTAATAATCAATTATCACTCTAATTAAACTCTTTAATCACTAAATTTTAAGTATTTGCTAGAACCCAAAATCCTATTTTAACAACATTAACACTTTCAAAACACTCCACTAATTTCATTTAACACCTAAACACACTAATGACACTGATCCTTTACCCATATTGTTCAAAAACTTTTAAATTTTTACTTAGGGTTCGTCCAAACACTAACCATAATTTTTAAATCACTATAAAATCTATAAACCTAGGCTTATAAGCTTGATTTAACTCCCAAGATCTAAATTAAGCCAATGGGTTCAGTCTAAACCCAAAGAAACATGAAACCAAGCCCCAACCACACTCAAGTCTATCAAAATTGGTATAAAAAAGAGGGAAGAAGGAGAGGAAGCTTACCCAAGGAAGTAGCAAGTTTTAAATACCTCCAAAATGCTCCAAGAATCAAGCCCTAACAGACTTAAGAGCCTTCTTCGTCACCTCTCATACTTTCTTTCTTTTCCCTTCTTATTTTCTACTCGTTTTATGAACTGATATGTGTATATTTTTGTACATCTATCGTGTGTATGGTGTGTCTGCTAGGGCAGAGGACACAATAGGGTTCAAAATGATTTGAGCCTCACTCTATGCCTTAATGTGCTCTAACTCTTACCTAGCCCTCTTTCAAGGCTATCTAACAATCCAAAAACTACATTATTCATTCAAAAACATCATTAATCCATAAATTACTTAATTTTTACTAATTTACCCTTCTCAAGCACTTAGATTTTCTAAGTTTTGAATTCTAAGATGTTACACCTCTTCCATGCTATTCCTTCACATTCTTCCATAGATTTTATTAAACTCAAAGATAAAATTCTCCTTTATATGTTAGTAGCACTTTGTATATCTATTGCCACCAAATATGGCTCTAATAGCACCAATAATAGCATTATTTCTATTAGACACAATATTTATCTATGGCTAACCATTAATATCTTTAATACTTCATAGAAAGCAAGTCCAATCATCAAAAGTTTCACCATGAACTATTATAAAGGCTAATGGAAACAAGTCATTATCAACATCATATGTTGAAACTGCCAATAAAGTACATCAATAAGGACCACTGAGGTAACAACCATTCACATATAAAATAAGTCTAGTCCCAAGTAAGAATCGTTTGATGGAACAATTATATGCAATAAATAATCATTTACATTTATTGTCCTCAAAGGCTACCTATTTTGCTATAATGTCTACATCAGTCTTTATTAGTCTATTACACAACTAAGGAATAAGTATATATGATTGGTTAGGAAGCCCATTTATTTCTATCAATACCCTATCCTTCACTTTTAAGACTCGACAATAAGTTAGACCTAAGCCATAGTCTCTATATATATTAGCTTTAATTTCATTGGGAGCTTTTTCCACATTAGACCTTACTACATCATTAATTATAGATGATGTTAGTATAGACCTTGTATTGTGAGAAATTTCAAGGTCTTCTTAGGTAGAATGTACGTGTTCATTCTTGAAAGTTGTTACACGAAGCAAGAGCATTGACTTTCTTAATGAATATATTGTTATCTTCCATTGACATATTTTTGTTTTGCATTTTCCAATTATTTTATCTATATTGTTCTTCAAAAATTTATATTAAAACTTGTGTGCAACACTATACTTGTAGATTGCTTGTCTACAATCATTAGCACTAGCAAAAATCTTCCTAGATCCTACTAGCAAATTCTTCCATTTTATTGCATTGGGCTTTAACATTGGTGTTAGGATACTTTGTATTGCATATGGTAGGACTTCAAGCTCTAGTATAGCATGTGAATTCCTAATCGAACATCCTACCATTCAAATCATATTTATTACTACCATTTATACTTATATTAGCATAATAGTTACATTTAAGTAACTGTTAAAAAAATTCAAATCAATTAGGTTTCTTGTTGCCTTGGTACTTTGCTATCACCTCTTAATGATGTATACATGAGCAAAATTATCATTCAACTTGATTAATTGATTTATTCCTTTATCATCTTTAAGGTCTAAAAATGCATTATAACCAAACTTTATTGTGTACTTCAACTTATTTCATTTAAATCACAATTCATGCCTGATGAATTAATCTAACTAGCCCTTCAAGAGACATTCTATCTCTGATCATTTTTTCATTATACAATTACTTTTCATCATACCCATTAGCATCAACCAACAATATCAAAATAAAATATAATATATGACTAATAAAGAAATTATTTTTTGCATTAGTGATATTGTACCATCTTAAAATATAGACAATCAATGATAAATTCTTACACTTTTAGTTATAAAATGTGGAATCTTCATTCCAAATCTTTAGAACTGTAAAATACAAAAACCTTTCTTTTTGTTCACGAGTGTGATTTTGCAAGAAAAAACTATAAAAACCTATATATAGGCTATCATTTTTACGTCTTTTCGTTTACCTAAAAAAAACCTATGTCTTAAAATGCACCAACCAAACCTAATTTTAGAATTAGAGCTTACATGAGTCAACAGTGACGACAAGTCCACCCCTTTCATGTGCAACTTCATTTTTAGTTAGGTTTTCTTCAACTTGTCTCTCCTCTACTTAGGGTCCATTTGGATTTCAGTTAAGTATAATTGATTGTGAAAATAATTAATTAAATGATTGATTTTAATCATAATTGATTAAGTTATAACGTAATATATTTGGATACTGTTTTTTTAAAATTAATTTTAACAAAATTGAAGATGTTTGGATAATTTAGTCAAAATTAATTTTAGCTATATAAATTACCATAAAAGACATTACTTTTCAAAATGAGTTTTCCTCTACCAATTAATATTTTATTTAAATTAGTTCTATAGTAAGTGCTAAGTAAAGGGTGGTGAATGATAGGAACTTAGTGTGAAAAAAAAACTTTCTTCAGGATCCAAAGTTTAAATTTTATTTAAAAAAAGAGAAAAGAAGAGAGTCTGGTTTTATTTTTATTAAATTTTATGCTTTTTTTATAATTTTTTCCTTGAGCCTTTCTTGTAAAATTTTCATATGCTTTTTGGTCTTATTCTCTTCATTCAAACACAAACACAGAAGCTTTCCTCCACAACTTATGAAAAAAATTATTTTTTTGGATAAAATCGATTATCCATAAAAATTGGTGTTTGGGTAATTTTTTTGAATAATCAAGTTTTTAACTTAAAATATTGATTATTACACTAATCCAAACACACACTTACAAGTAAGACTCAACAATGGCGAGAAGGAGCTTTGTTTGGGAGGAAAATATTCAGCTGATGTTATATGCTAAAAATTAATAATATATTTAACTTTAAAGGTATTTTAGTTATTTCTTTTATAACTCAAATTTGTGAGGAAAAAAAGCATGTGGCTTGGTTGGCATTTTAGAATTACTCAAGACCTAACTTGAACTAATTAGCCTATTTGGGACTTAATTGTCATTTTAGAAGTACTTTATTATTTTGGTTAAAACTATAGTGAGAGAGTTAATTTGTCCTTTTAGGATTGAGTTATAATCACGTTAAAATTTTAAAGATTAAGTTACAACTAGAGTTGGAAAAAGGGCGGGCCCAATCCTTAAGAGCTTATGCTCTGAAGCCCAATTTTTCAAAATTCCTTCAAATCCTAAGGCCTGACCCTTATGTGAAAGGGCTTAGGGCCAGGCTCATAAGCCCAATTATAAAAAATAAGAAATCAATATTATAATTTAATTAGGATATTTTAAAATTAAACATAAGACAAATCAAGGTAATTACTTTGGTTGGCAAAAAAATAATTATTTTGGTTAAACTTAGTAAGAATCAGAACACCTATATAAGACAGTTAGAGATTAAAGTATCAGTCGCCTAATACCCATAGCAAGAAAGCAATGCCAGTGAAAAGCAAATCATGAAAGGCATGAAGGGTGACAGGGCAAGCAGATGCGGGAGGGAGAGTTGAGTGACTCTGAATAAGGCAAAGATTAAAGACGAGACAAGGATGACCAACAGCTAATGGGAAAGCAAAGATGCCAAGTGAGGTAGAGATAAATGATGATCAACAGGAGAGATGAGTGACTGTGAAATTTTCAATCTTTAGGTTAAAAGAATGAGAGTTTTGATCTAAACAAGAGGCTGAGAGAGTAAGAGTCAAGAGATAAAAAATTAGAAAAGTTTAAGCTTTAAATTTTTCCTTTACGCATAATTTTTACATAGGTTGCAAAATAAAAAAAAAAGATAACAAGGTTTGGAGGCTCACTTAGGCCATATTTTTTTTTTCAAAGCTTATTAGGGTCAGGCCCAAAAGCTCAATTACCCTAAAATTCTCTCATTTTTCAAGCCCGAATCCTTATTTAAATAAAGTTGTAGACTTGACCCTTCAAGTCTAACCCTTATTTCAAACTGTAATTACAATAAGTCAAAATTTAAGAATTGAATGATAAAATTAAAACCATAAAAATTAAATGATTAATTTTTCATTTAAAAAAAAAGAATCCCATCACATCTCCACTATTCATTACTCATTACAGCATAAGGAACTTCCACGTGTGAAAGGGCCCACCGTATCATCGAACAAGTACCAGCCTTGGTCCTATCCTCTCTTCCTCCGTGGAACTACAACGAAATCCACATGAACCGGACCTGTGAGTTCAACCCTAGCTAAGCCAGAGCCTGAGCCTACCTCGTCCCTTCCCAATTTTATCTTGTTCGTCTTCAAAGATTCAATCCTTTCCCTTATTGATGCTCCCATAGCCTTTCTCTCTCTCCAGGCCATCATTTCTCAGCTTCTTTCAGAAACCATGTCTCAAAATGGTTCCTGGGACCGAAGAAACCAACCTCGCGCTACCAGTGATGGCAAGGGAGACAACTTTATAAACCCTACTAGTTTTGCCTCACTATCTGATTCGCGTAAGCTCTGTGCGAGTCCCAAAACCGATCACAAGCCCGAGAGTTATGATGACCTACAATTGGAATTCAGCCCTCTACTCTTCAGCTCCCTAGAGCAGTATTTGCCTCCTCACATGCTGAATGCACCACGTGACGCCAAGGTCCAGTACATGAAGAACATCCTATTCCGGTATTTGCCAGAGAGTGAACGCACTCGGGTACGTATGAGTGTTGGGGTTTTACCTTGATAGTGAAGGGGAAGAACCATATCCTGAATGCCACGGAAAGCCTTGCTTTATTCATTTTTGTGAAACTATTTGATACTACCCCGAAGCATTATGGTTCAAGGGCATGGACTGTTAGTGAGAAAGGCAAATGTGTTGCTTGAGTCTTGATTACAGAGTGTTGCATTTTTTGCTTGACTTAGAAGCCTGTTAGAGAATTGAAATAACCCTTCTCTGTATGGAATTGGAAGGTAGTGATCTTTGTCCTGTTTGATAGGCTGAGATGGCGACTAATTTATATGCTTATACTCCCGATTGTTGACAAGATACTAACAGTGGCATTGATATTCATGTGTCCGCATGCTGTCGCATTGAGAAACATTCTCAAGTCCTTCTTGCTTTTAGACAGGCCCACTAATATTATGAGAGCAATGGCTGTCTGATTTTCAATTTGGATTTCCTTTGTCTTTTGAGAGCTCTTGCTTGTATCTTTTATATAAACGATATATCTACTTTGTTTATTAAGGATTGTATAGAAGCTCAAACATTCTTATAGCCTGTCTAACTGTACCTAAGTTTGCCTTCAGGCGATAAGGAGTGCCTGTTTGTTACACCATGGAAAGAGCAATCTTTAGAAATGATAAATTCAAGATTTCGTTTCACTTACTCATTCAAAAACTGACTGAAAATGTTATCAGCTGACAAATGGTAAATGAAATTAGTTATTATTAAGCTAATGTAGTTGTTAACCTAAAGAAATTATACCCTACCCTATTATGTTTTTACCTTGGTCAGAATGGGTGTCTTGCTTAGTATGACTGCATGATGCCTATGATGAACACAACCTTCTCATATTTTGGCTTTGGCCCAGAATTTTTCATTAAGTATTTTTTTAATTGTTTGGGTTGATTAGATTCAAAGGCACAAGGAATACAAGCAAAAGATCATATTGAATTATCCAGTAAGTTTTCTAATCCATGGAAACTTTCAGTTTTGAGCATTTGTTTTTAAATTGACAGTCTTAATTGTTTCATTTTATGTTTTTATATCCAAAATTGAGAGAGATGCGTCCATTGGATAAGCTCTCTCTGTTTTCTGAAGTGGAGGCAGCATGTATATGTAACTGTTTTATATTTGATTTGGGAAATAATGCAAGATAAAATAGTAAATGCCAGTTGGAGAGCCATTCCCTTGTCTCCTTTTCTGCATGTAGCATAGAAGCACCAATCATTGTTGTCCTTATCAATTGTTCACTTCTGTTTGTAGCCGCTGCATAAGGAGATATATACTATGCATGCTGAAAACTTTTTTACACCGTCATTCCTCAAAGCAATTAGAGATAATACAGAAGAGAGTTTTAGAAGTGTAATAGCTGAACCATCTGCAGGAATTTATACATTTGAAATGCTTCAGCCACAATTTTGTGAAATGTTGGTATCTGAGGTATTACTTTCTTTTCTGACCTTTTAATATGCATATGGTTTTATGCTTTATGTATTAGTTTTTTATGTTTTCTTATCAGGTTCTAATTCCTTAGGTGGATCATTTTGAGAGATGGGTCCATGAGACCAAATTCAGAATCATGCGACCTAACACAATGAACCGATATGGTGCTGTGCTCGATGATCTTGGCATGGAAACCATGCTTGACAAATTAATGAATGATTACATTATTCCACTAGCTCGAGGTGGCAAATCTTTCTCCATGAGATTTTAATAGTAATTTGTGACTGGAAAAGTAATTATTATTGTGGCACAATCTCACTTTTTCTGTCTGAAAACATTGTAGTTTTCTTTGCTAGAGTTGGTGGATCTTCGCTGGACTCTCATCATGGTTTTGTTGTGGAATATGGAATGCATAGGGATGTTGAGCTTGGTAGGATTTTTAGATGTATCTCTGTAGTTTTGTGACTTTGCTGTTTCCATGTATCTGGAATTGCAATTATTTTTTTTCAATGTCTAATGGGGTGCTTAGGGATTTGATCTATTTTTCTGTGTTTCCTATTAATTTTCTTTTAGTGATGCTCTTAATTCTATTTGTATGTTAGAGCTATATCCAAATACCTGTAATTTTGTATTTGTGTTTTTCTCTTTTTACTATAACAAGTGAAAAGAAAAATAAAACGCACTAACAGAAGACTCAGCACGATTGTCTGAAAACAACAATTAATAGTCAGAAGCTCTTTTGTTGCTGTAATATGACCTGAATAATCTAAATGTACTCCAACTTTTATGATACTCAAGTTATATGAGCAGTAGGCATGGCTGCCCTTAAATCTAAATGTGTCTCTTCTGTTATTGGAGGGAAGGTTGAATATTTTTGCCTAAGTTACAATCATATGAAAACATTTTTTCCCCTTATAGATTTAGTTCTATACGAAGCACATTTTCTCTTCTTATTGCTTGCATTTGAATCTTATGCCGTAAATCTGTATTTTTACTTAACTGTGTCATATCTTTTGTAGTTGGGTTGGATAGCAATCTTGTGTAGCATTACAGGCTTTCTGTTGAAATCTGAGGAGCTTTGTTTTTGCAGGCTTCCATGTGGATGATTCAGAAGTCACTCTGAATATTTGCTTGGGAAAACAATTTTCAGGTGGAGAACTGTTCTTTCGGGGTGTCCGTTGTGATGAACATGTGAACACAGAGACCCAACCAGAGGTATGCTTACTGTTATAGACAAAGTTCTTTTGGCTTGTTAATTTAGATTAAGTTACAAGATTCTTTGCACGTCTTTGTGCATGAATTCCATTTTAAAGTAGGAAAATAGCAATGACTATCCATTGATTGTGCCGCTGTGTATCCTGTACCCCCTTCCCCCTGTGGGCTGGTGATTTAAATGTAGGGAAACAAGTATTCGACTATGTCCTGAACTTTAAATAAGAGTTCATTTACAGTGATTCAACGTTTGAAGAATGGTAAGAAAAGAAATTTGAGGACTTTTCTCTCAGGAGACAAGGTTGATGTGAAAGATGGATCTTCAGATTGTTGTATATGCCGGGATAAAACTAAAATATATGATAGTGATATTGCGGGAGGATGTTATATGCAATAGGGTAACCCCAAGCTCATTCTGATTTGCCCTTTTTTCCCTAGTACATGAATCTATTAATGCATGTTTTAGATTGTTGGACTGTCAATTGATTGTAATTCATACTCAATGTTGAATGGCATAACAACATTATAATACGATATCAAGCAAATCTTGCTAAATCTTATAACAATGATCCCCACCGATGAAATCCTTGCAGGAAATCTATGATTATTGCCATGTTCCTGGGCGTGCAGTATTTCATAATGGTCGTCACCGGCATGGTGCTCGAGCTACAACATCTGGACAGCGAATCAATTTAATCATATGGTGTAGAAGGTATTTCCGTTGAACTTGTTAATCCTTGTTGCAAACAATCTTGTTTGTTGCCTCGCTGAATTTGCAATTTTTCACATGTCTCTGAAATTTTTGTCATTTTTCAGCTGGTTTTTTCTTTTTTTTTTGTGGGTGGAATCTCGAGAAACTGACATTCTTTATTGGGTTCTTAAGATAGCCTTCCCTCCTTTGGTCCTCAGTCTGAGTTCCTATATGATGACCGTTTTATACCCAAAATAAAAAAAAAAGATCTGTTTGCTCAAATGTGCAACCACTTTGTTCTTGTAGTTCGATTTTTAGAGAGATGAAGAAATATCTAAAAGATTTTTCTAGCTGGTGTGGAGAATGCCGGCGCAAGAAAAAAGAGAGAGAACGCCTCTCAATTGCTGCCACCAAACAGGTAACAGTCATTCATCAGGAATGAAAAGCATTACAGTAAATCTTGTTCTATCATGATATACTTATTCAGGGTGTGTCGTCATCACTGTCCAGGAATTACTGGAGGGAAGTTAAATCCATCTCGTGAACTCTATCCATTTCATGTTTCTAGATTTGCTGATCAACCAAATGTCAGCTCTTTGGTGTAGTTTTTTTTTCCCCTCTCCCTACTTTTTTCTTTTTTTAAAAAAAAATTATGGTGATACAGTAAAGGGTGTCCGGGGTTAGTGGTCTATAGACCACCTGAGGTACATGTTAAAATGAACGGCTCAAATCCTTTACTTTCACAAAATGTAGATGATGCATCCGCAAAGAGAATAGTAAAGATTAGAGTGGTGGGCCTTGTACCCAATTATGATGTGGGTCTTAATCATAATCATTTTTTTTTATTTGTGTCGCTCTCTTTCTGGATGTCTTCTGCTACATTTATTTTGTGATCAGAGAGGACTCAAGGTCTTGAAACAAAATAGGCTTGTTTCTTGAGTAAACTCCTGGGAAGCAAAAGCCAATTCCCCCTCCATTCTTAGGGTTTATAAGCTGAGCATCATGATGTTGGTCTTTTGTAATTGGACTGTACAAAGGATGGTCGATCAATGTTGTTTTTCTATATAGCCCCTTTCAATTTTTTTTTTTTTTTTAATTTGCCTTGGTGGCTCCTCTTTTTGAATTTCGCTACAACAAATGGGCTGCGGACGTGGGACTTGGAACTTCTCCATTTCTTTACCATTTTTTCCATTGATTTCTTCAATTGTAACCCTTCATCAAATCTATAGCCAAAATAGATTCATTTATTGTAGCGATATCAATAGTTATGAATTTATCACTGGGAAGTAGAGGGAAAAAGATGATAAGGGAATAGAGGATCTGCGATTGCCAATGTGACTGTAGTTTCAAAATAAATACAAAGGTGATTTTACTTTTTTCAGTTGAGGGCAATCATAAATACCGTCCAATTTTTATTATAAATCACTTTTAACCAATTTACTAGAACTAAGGAAAGATAAGTAATTTATTAAGTCTATCTTAAAATTTTAAAATATTCTAACTTTGCCCTTGTTAAAGAGTGTGGATTTAAAAATAAAGATTTTTTTTCCCCCAATTATGTTGCACTCTCATGCGTAGGAAACTTAGTTTTGGAAGAAAAGAGAAAGAAACATAATATGTGAAGTTATACAGAAATATTAAAATAGAATTAAATTATTTTAATGTTTTGTAACAAGGATGAAATTGAAAAATGTTAATTAATAATTCTTTAACTTATATTAAGGACTAAGAATTTCTTTTAGAAAGTGTTTTTATAATGAAGACCAAAATGAGCGTTAATAGTAATTTGTTTGGATGATCTAATTGGAAGCAAAGAAAAAGTTCAAGTATTTTTTTTTGGGTAACCATTTTGATTTATTTTTTAACAAACTAATAAACATAGTACTCACTTTTTTTGAGAAAGTCAAGACTCTATGTAGAGCTAATAATTTAAGCAAGGCGAGTTGATTTGACCAGCTAAATCAGATCGAGTTTGAAATAATTGAATTAAAAAAAAAAAGCTTTTATAGTCAAGCTTAGTTCTAATACCTCAAGCTTTTAGACTTATTCAGTTTGGTTTGAATGTATGGATTATTAATATTATATTATTTTACGTTTTCATTTTTTAAGCAAATTTTGATTTTTATCTTAAAAAATTAAAATTTTTATAGCAAATAACCACATTTCTTTTCCTATCCTTACTAAAATGAGACCAAACATTGAAGGAGTAACAATAAAAGGGTTAATGTCTAAATTTGCCTTTGTTCTTATTTTAAGAACGCTTGACACTTTATAATTTTAAGTGAGATAATTTTTTCTCTGAGTTATTTTTGAGATCCTTTTGAAGTTTTTTTTTTTTTTTTTTGAGATCTAAAATTGTCCTTCTATTAAGCAACTGTGAAATCCAACAATTATATGATGATATGGCAACTATGGGGCCTAGGTATGATTTTAACTTAACTTTTGCTCCCTGAAACTCTCATCCCTTTTTTCTACTTCTCCTCTTGCCAATTCGAGTCTCTGACTTCAAGATCAAATTGCTACCCAGGTTAGCTAGTGCTCACAACCTTTCACTCCTCATTCACGTTCTCGCTTGCACTTGTCATTGCCCATTTGTGTTCTCATCCTGCTCACCATTCGCGTTCTCATTGTGCTTGCATGCTTCACTCATCTTTGCTTTAGGCTTGTGCTTCTGCCTCTCATCGTCCATCGAGTGCTTCTACCTTCTTGCTCTACTTGTGAATTTGTATTTAAATTTTTGCTTAAGCTAAGCTCTTGGTGCAATTTGAATAGGTTTAATGATTGATCCCCAATATGCCTAAATTTATGAGTAATTCTTTCTAAATGGGTTTAAATGGGTTGAATGATTGAAGGTGTATAATATTTTTTCATAAAGATTTAGAGAACACTTGCCATGAGGGTTATAAGCTCACTTCAATCATTGCTTTCAAATTTAAACTTTCAAGTTTCACACCTTGTCTTTGACTAAATCATCCTCAAAACTTGACACACCCCTATTCAAACCAGGGGGAGGTCTTGGTGGACCAATCAACTCCCTATCGTCATCCTTTTCTTCATTGGAACCTAAACCAATAGGCAGTGGAGGATGCAAATCGCACAATCTGAACCCTCTATCATGAATATGTTGTAACATCTCGAGTTTTAATTCCCTGATTAATTAAAAATTTTAGGGTAATTAAGTAACTTGAAGTGATGTATGGTCAAGGAGGTCTAATAATCATATTTGATGATATTTCAGCCTAGTTGTGGGACCGGTATTGAGGTGAACTACCCGGGCATCAAAGGAGAAGAAAAGGAAGAGTCAATATTGTTGTGCCACATGCCGCGACGTGTAGATCATCTGCCATAGTGCACAAACATTTTTGAGTGAAGGGAGGACCTCTCTGTGCCATGCACCGCGGTACATTGTGTATTCGTCATGGTGTATGGCCATTTTCTATAATTTATCAGACATGAAATGAGACAGAAATAGGGAGAAAGAAAAGAGAAGAAACGGAGTGGCACGCCAATGCTTTACTAGGGTTTACTTGTGGATGACATTGAGAGTATTTTAAAGGCTATAAATATCCAAGGTAAATATCATACTCATTAATCTCCCCATTTCTTCCACATTTATGAGTTTATGGTTAGGATTTGATGGTGAAAGTAGAATTTCAATCCATATAGGTTATGGGTCCGAATTTGTTGACTCAAATAAAGTTAATGGGGGTAGATTAGAATATCTAAAACTAAGTATAATGAGTTTTGGCATCTTGGGTTGTTGGGCACCATTAATATCCAAAAAATCTTATTTATTATGGGTGGTTGGAAGTTTGTAATGCCATTAATGGGAATTTAATGGCTCATTAATGCTATTGGGGGCTAAAGGTAATTATTAAACCCAATGATTAGGCTTCACCTCTTGTAAAGTAAATGTTGGACAGTTTAGAAGTAGAGATTGAGAGCTTAAATGTTTGAGTTGGTTATGTTGATAGAATTCAACTTAGTTAATTATAGTTTTAGTTTTTGGTCACCTATTAGATTGGAAAATTCAAGCTTGAAAGATAGTTGATTAAGGGACAAACCTTTGACCTCTCAAAGGTTTGAGGTAACTAAGGGAAACTCTATTTTGGGTATTTATATGTTAATTGATTGTTAGTTGGTTGTTAAATGTGAATTTTGAATGTTACATGCATGGGATTGATTTTTAAAGTAAAAACTATATATTAGTTTCAATTAGTGCATGAAAAGCTATTTTTGGCTTGAAAATGCAAAATGTAAAGTTAAGAGAATTTTAACTATGAATATGCTTATGCTTTTGAAAAATAAATGTGATGGTGTGTAGAGGTATTTGTGTGTTAATGATGAAATGACTTTTGAGGAAATGATGAGAATATACACTTAGGTAGTGCATGGTCGTGAGCCCAATATAGTTGGTGTAACAATGAGTATACAAAAGTAAAAAAGTGAAAAGAAGTGAGTATTGATTATGGCATGATCGGTAACGGGAGTTTGCCTAGGGATTGGGAGTAGAGAAGAATTCATATGGTATTTAGGCTACCCTCTGGTGCATGGGGGTATAGCCTTGTCCCACAGTTTGTCGAGGAACCATCCTATAATTTGTCAAGGGACTAGAACCTAGCTATCTCCACCAATTGAATAAGGAGAATAGCTTAGGGTATGAGACATCTCAAGGATTCGAGAATGGGGAAAGCCATGGTCCGAGAGTAAGTCTTGTGATCTTTGGCTAGGTCGCACCTTACGATTGGTGAGTTTGGATAGTCCAATCACACGAACAAAGCCCTAATCAGTGTTATAACCCACAGTTTTGGTCTGAGAAAATAAAGAGGATATAAGGTTGGTTGATCATTGCCTAAGTAATTATGACGTGTCACACACGTTTAGTGGTAGCAAGTCATGTGAATAATGGGTCATGTCACATATCTGAGAATATGTGACAATACACCTAGTTATGAGAGTTAAAGATGTTATTTAATGATAAATGATAAGATATGATATATGCTAGTATGTTTTACATACTTGATTTCCTTATGCATGTATTTGGTTTATAATTAACATATAACTGCATAAGGTGGGTTTAACCCTAATTATTGAGTAGCTAAACTCACACTTTTCATTTAATATTTTTTAGGCTCTAGTTCTAGTATTGAGAGGGAGAAGGCTAAAGAGGCAGGGAATTAGCATATTTTTACTATATGCCTCTAGTTTAGATTTAATTGTGTAATAGTATATGATTTGTCAATTCTAGAATGCATGCCATCTTACTTACACTATTTTGTTATTGGAAATTTTAGATTTGTATTTTGGGCCCTTAGTCCTTGTGTATGTTGCTATATATATATATATATAATTTATAAATCCAAAATACTAGTACAAGTGTAGAAATAATGATTTGAACATGTTTTGAACAATTTAATGACAAATCACCTCCCCCTTTATTTTTTTAGTAAAATGGGGTTGAGGAGTGAATTTTTATTATACTGATATTTCAGTGCTTGTGACGTGTTATACTGATAGTTCTAGGTCCATCGAATATGGTTCAGGTGTTAAAAAATCTTTTGGCACTTTTTGAGGGTTTTAGACACCCATTTTGTGTAAAAGTATTGAAAAGTGATTTAAAATGTATTTGGGTTCCAACTTTCTAGTGTGACATGTTTTAGAAGTAAAATCCATGGCATTAGCTAGCTCATGTAGAGAGCTTTTTGTAAGCACCTAGATCAAGTCATTCAAACGTCGGATAAAGAATTGGGGCAAGTCAAAAGCTCCCTAATTTTGCTGTCAAATGATAACAGAGTCAATAGAAATTTCATGCAACATGCCGCGGTGCATGGTGCTTGAGCCATGGCTTGTGGCATAAAGAGCAATACACTACGGCACAGTGTGCATGAGCCTCGGCGCATTGCCCTATGTCACAGCATATGTTTTGTTTTTCAACCATTTTTGACTTCTTGTGAGGTATCTCATGCTTCCGAAACTTATTTTTACTCTAATATGAAGAATTTTGATTAATTTAAACTCATTGTTATTTAGAAAACTTGGGATCTCTGACTTTTGGATTAAACCTTGGTGATCACTTTTTGAGCTAATCCCTTGATTACCATGAGTTTTATTTGTTAATTATGTCTAGTGGAGTGAGAATGTTTTATAGGTCCCCTGCACTCTCATCTGTTGTTCTCTCTTCAACTCTAACCCTCTGGTTCATTTGCTTCATGTGTCGTTCTCTCTTACATTACTAGGTTTGAGCCGTTATGATGGCATCATCTTCTTCCTAGGAAATTTGGTTTTCTTCAATGCATTAAGGGCCTTTAATTCTGTCGAGGTTGTCACAAATACTTTAAGGCCTTGTTTGGTATGATAGAAGAGTTTTTAATAGAATTGAAATTGAAATTGAAATTGGAATTGAAATCAGAATCAGAATTGAATTGAGTTTTAAAAGTGTGTTTGGTATGAAAATGAAATTATGATATAATTTTAATAAGTATATGTATTTAAAATAAAAAAATCAAAATACCCTTTATTTTATTCTTTTAATAGAAAATTTAACAATAAAAAAATAAAGAATATACTTTTAAAGCACAAAATACCCTTTAGTTTATTTTTTAATGACATATAAGCCAATTCCATATTGAATTGGTGGATTCCATGGTCTCTACAATAGAATTGAATTCTATCAATTTTGATGGATCAAATTCCTTCAAGAAAGCAATTTCGGTATACCAAACAAGTCAGCTAGACAATTTCATGTCTGATTCCATTTCCTTTCTCACAATTCTGGTATACCAAACATGGCCTAAGGGTTGTAGGAGAAGGAAGAGTTGGACAAAGAAGTGGATGATCCAGAGTCGATTAGGGAGGGAAAGAGCATGCTTCACTTCCATTCATGCCACGTTATTGGTTGAAAAAATAAGGATGCCATGTCATAGGGTCAAAGCTTACATATAGGATGCCAAGTCAAAAGGTAATAGAGGCCACGTCATGACACATTAACACAAAACAAGAGAACTAACGTCTAACTAATAGAGGGCCAATTTTGCTCCACTAAAAAAATAATTCAAGGAAAAAATTACCTACTTAAGAGTTTAGGGTGCCCAGCGCTCTTTGAAAATAAGTATAAAGATAAAATTGTACCTTAATCCAAAACAAAAACATACAAAGTTGTAAAATTGCCCAAGAGAAGGGTAAATTGCGATTAATAAAAATTTGACAAATAATGCAAGGTTAAAAAGATAAGATAGGAACAATATCACCAATGTATGTTAAAAAAAAGGAAGAAAAGCTTACACAAGCATTTATCGTGGTTCAGTTCCAACCACTCAAACTTACATCTAATCCCCAAGTTGTAACATCTTGAAATTTAAGTTAACAATTAAATTAATTAATTAATTAATTAGATTATGGGTGATTGAGATTGTAAACTTCATTCTCCTTGTTTAAAGTTTTCCAAGACATGAGAAGGAGAAGAGAAAACGGAAAGCCTTTAAAGCCAAGCACTAGAATATAGCATTGTAATATTTAGTAGCCTTATATGTGTAATTAAACATAATTATATTGCTAATATAGGATTACTATATATGTTTAGCTATAGATCATTTGCATGTGAATTACCATGCAAATATGTTACTGTATGATGTGTTATACTTGTTTAGATTATAACAAATCAACAAATATGACTGCTATAGATGAATAAGCAGTTATTGTTTTGCTTGGTTAAGTTGGTTTGAGAGGGGGGACACTTGTACATGTGCATGAAGCATAAATGCTCATCTTGGCACTTGGTGTTTCAAGATCCTCATGTGATACCAAATTATATGCAAATTGGTACCATTGGTTAGATTATTATTTTATTTGCATGTGAGTGCATGTTTAGCTTTAATTAGAGGTTCGAGCAAGTAATTAGGTACATAGAAATTTTATTTCGTGCATGTTGTAATCTATGTTTTCAATGCAAGTGTGCCATAACAAATGGTAGAATTAGCCATGGCAAATGAGTTTTTTGTGGTTAGTCACGATAAACAGGGCCTTTAGCCACAACAAAAGTGTAACATCCTAAAAATTTTAAGACTCAAATTTATTAAAAAAAAATAAACAAAAATAAAATAAAATATCTATAATTAAATTAAAATTTAGAATAATTTAATAGAGGCCCAGAGTTCGAATTTTACTAAGCAAAAGTTTGGTTTTATTTGATTTTTAACTATGGGAAAAATTACCAAAGTTGACCCGGGCTTTTGTGCAATAATAAAAAATGTTGGGCCCTTTCTTGTAATTTTCCCCAAAGTTTTTGACCAGCATTTTAAGGAGCAAACTGATGCAGAAACGCAGAGAAAATGAGAAAGGAAGCAAACGCACAAACGGGAGAGAGAGAGAGAGGAAGAAGAGAAGAGAAAGGGAGGGAGTTAGGCTTGGATCTAGGAGTCTTTGCGACCGTTGCGAGCTCGGCTACACGATAGGTAAACTCCCTACTTCAATCCTCTTCTCTTTCTCTTGATTTTCTTCAATTTTTGGAAGAGGAAATTTTTGGATTTTGATCCCAAAGGCTTTATTCTTGTAAGCTTTTGTTTCTTTGGATTCTAGGGAGCATGTTTTGAGTTTCTATATAGTGATCTAATGTTTTGAGTGAATAATTGGATGAAAAGAGGTGTTTTGGGCACAAAATAAACCTTGAGAAATTGGGTTTTTGCTCCTCAATGGTTTAAGCCTATTGATTTAGTTATAATTTTGCTATTTGAGCCCAATAAGATTTAAATTAAGGTTTGGTTTTCATTATAAGGGCTAATGGTGAAAGTTGGTGGCACTAAGTAAAGGTTTTTAATTGATTAAAAAAATTATATAAATTGAAAATTAGCCTAGTGATGGCTAATAAATGGTTTTGGTGGTTAAGTGATACTATGTGAATGGTTGGTTTAATATATGGACCATTAGGGTGGATTATGACTCATTGACCTAAGTTGTGTGGTATAAGTTATAGTCTTCATTAATACTATTTGTCATGATAAGTGATGTGGATCACTTATATGTTGTAGAAAATTGTTGGTGGAACTTATTGAGAAGTAAGGAACAAGCCGAGCCCTATTTTGTACAAGGGGAACCCTTTTAGTACCAAAGGGTTGAGGTAACAGGGGAATTTATATTTCTTATTACTTTGTTTTAGCTATTTTTGAATAAATATTACTAGTTATCATGCATTACATGTTTTAAAAGATTAAATGTGCTTTATAAGGGGTTATGGGGTACTACTTTGATTATAGTGCAAATATGTTTTCTAATTGTTTAATAACAATGTTTTTATGGAAATGAGATTTATAAATATTATACTACTTTAGAGTGTTGAATGGTCAATACTCAGGAAAGGTAGACAAGAGTAAAAGGCATGATCTCGGTGGGAGTTCACCAATGAGAAGGTGTGGATTTTTGATATTCTATGGCACACTGTCAGTACTCAGTGTTGTCTTACGTATTGTGGGCTCAGTGCACTAAAGTGGTTAGTGTATTGAGTGTTCGACACCTCTCAGTGGGGGAGGGAATCCGACATATGAAGTGTGAGGTTGAGTGCCTAGGCCAAGGTAGCCCTCACATGGAGAGTAAGTCGGGCTGGCTCTGGGAGGGAGTTAGCTTTGACTGCTCAGGATTCACGTCGAAGGGGCATAGGCGGTTCGGTGGATTAGATCATGCCTTAGATTATGTTTTGTGCCTGTGGAGGTACAAGTAGGTATAAGGTTTACCTGCGAGTTAAAGAGTGCCAGGGGGCATTCTGTTGGTCATGAAAGGCCATACCGGCCTAGGTCATGCATTCATGCATTTTAAATGGCTAAATTATATACTATGTTGAATTTATTATTCATTTATTTAATTATGGCTTACTTTGTAATAATCAATATAGATTTCACTGTTACTGAGACTGTGGTTGTCTCACCCCTTTCTTTTCAATATTCTAGGTCCAGGCGAAGGATCCAGTGGTGGACGGGGAAAAGAGCAAAGCTAGGGGTTTGCTTGTGATTTGTAAAGAACTGCAACCCCTTTCTTTTGAGCAAATATATTGTAATGTATTTAAGATTAGGGTGCCAGTAGGATATGATTATGTGTGTGTGTGTGAATATGTGTGGATTGTGTGCTTGTGTATGAATTTTTGTCTGTTTGCAGACTTGTGGCTAGGAAACTTGGTTATGGTGTGTGGTTTTGATGGATTTACTTAGTAGACCAAGTTTCTATTACAAGCAGATCTTTATTTTGATATATATGTGATTTTATAAGCAAATGCAAAGTGGTTGCATTGCAAATGGTGTGCTATGGGAAAACATACAGCTTGGATAGAGAGAGTGGGTGCGTGGGCCCCACAAGGAGCTCTGAGCCAAGTGAAAATGTTTAGCATATGTATTTATATAAATACATGGTATTTGGATTGATTTGTGACCACTCTTGTATGATTTGTGCATTTTGGGGGTTTAGGGTCCATTTTAGGAAATGGCACCCGGGTGGTCAAATTTTGATGTATGGGGGTTTTCCATCATTTGAATGTTCTATCAAGTGTTTTTAATCTTATTTGACGTGTCCAAAGTGTTTCCACAGGTTTGTGACCATTAGGATGGGATTTGGACAATTTTGAAAATGGTTTTTACCAAAAAGCTGCACTTTTGCATCCGGGTGTCCAAATCTTAATCCGACCGTTGGATTTCTCTAAAATTTGGGTCACAAGTAAAACCTTTTATAAGCTTCGTGTGGGCTTTGGAATCACGTCGATCGGATATCGGACGGAGAAACGACGCACTCCGGAATTTGGTCTGGAGGTGCTGTCATGACAGCATTAAATTGCTGTCATGACAGCTACAGTGTTGATTTTGTAACCTGCACAAAATTCAATCCGTCCGTTGGATCTTTTCAAAATTTAGTATGCTAATAGTATTCTTTAAAAGTGACATGTGGGCTTTGGAATCACTCCGATCGGAGGTCAGATGATGAAATGGTGCACTCCGGAAGTTGGTCCGGAAGTGCTGTCATGACAGCTTTTTAGCTGTCATGACAGCAAAAATAGTCAATCTTTTAACATGTCTAATTTTTAATCCGACCGTTGGATCTTTTTGAAATTTGGTACACTTATAGTACCCTTTGAATGTGACGTGTGAGCTTTAAAATCACTTCAATCGGAGGTCGAATGACGGAACACCGCCTCCTGGAAGTTGGCCCAGGAGGGCTGTCATGACAGCAATAAATTACTGTCATGACAGCATCTTTTTATTCCATTTTCGTCTAACTTGCTTCCGTGCGCTATAGGTAGAACCTATAATTATTTTTAAGGTTTTAAATGATTTATTTCTTAAGTTGGTTAGAGGATCAACTCCTTAACCACACTTAGTTTGTTTGAATTATGTGATTTTTGGATAACACTCAAGGCAAGTGTTACATTTGGTATCAGTTTTAGGTTTATGATTCCTTTTTCCTACTTGGCACCTTAAATACATTACTTTTATGCTCTTTCCCTTCTACCACTAACCTGGACTAATATGGTTTTTCTTTCTCTGGCTTGTTCCTTTAGGAGGGGAGAAAGGTCCGTACGCTTGTAGCCGTACACCTTTCAGTTCTAATATGGCTCGAAGGGGAAGGGGTAGATCGAGGAATGAGGAACGACCACCACCTCTACCTCCTCCGCCTCCACCTCCGCCTCCACCTCCACCACCACCACAGGGGACAGATGCAGTCATGGCTAGGCTGCTTGAAGTTATGGTGGATATACAGCAAAATCTTAGAAGTCATACTGTTCCAGATCAGCATGTTGACCTAAGTGCTGGGCAGGGATCTTCTAGTACTATGGGAGCTCATGCACCAGTTGTTAATAATCGAGAGGATGACATATCTGAACCTTGGAAGGAATTCTCTCGCTCTAATCCGACTACATATGATGGTAGTATGCTTGATGGGAAAGCTGAAGAGTGGTTGGATCGGATGGAGCAGTTATTTACTGTTGTGAGGTGTACATCTGAGCAGAAGGTTATCTTGGCTACGATGCAGCTTGTTGGTGAAGCCAAGCATTGGTGGGATTCTGTTAAGCCCACAGATGGAAGATCTATGTCTTGGGATGAATTTAAAGAAAGATTTTATGATTTTCACTTTCCGCCAGCTTTCAGAGATGAGAAAGAGGCAGAGTTTCATGCATTTCAGCAGGGGGACTTAGACGAGGAGACTTTTATAAGAAAATTCAATCAGCTGTCTAAGTTCTCAACATATCTGAAGGCTTCTAATGATAGCAAGTGGAAAGCAAAGAGGTTATTAGAAAAGATGAGGCCAGAATACCGCCAGCAGCTATCTTTGTTGGGCGAGGCGACATATGATGAGATGTGCAATCGTCTGAGGATTGCCGCTCGTCGAGGCCGAGACACAGAGAGTAGCCGGAGTAGGGATACACGAGGTCGATTTTCTTTTGGGTTAGCTCCTACTGGTGGTGTATCCAAGAGAATGGGTTTTAGCTCTGGTTCTTCTTCTAGTGGCTCCTTTAGAATCGGGTCTTCTTCTGCTTCTGGTAATCGAAATTTAAATAGGGGTTCAAGATTTCAAGGTAATCGGGGTGGTAATATGAGATCTGGGGGTTCTCGTTTCTCTGGGAATGCTCCAGCACGTTCTTCACAGACCAGTCAAGCCCCAATTCTAAGCACAGCGAGGTCACCTTGCAATAGATGTGGTAGGGTTCATTTTGGTCGCTGCTTTGCTTGTTACAAGTGTGGAAAGTTAGGCCATTTGATCCGTGACTGCCCTGATTTACATGAGAGCTCGGACCGGAGGAACGTGATTCCTGGTAGAGTGTATACAGTATCTCAGGAGGAGGCTAGGAAGTCATCGAATCTAATCACTGGTATGGTTTCTATCTGTGGCCTCGATTTAGAAGCTTTGTTTGATTGTGGTGCGACGCATTCTTTTATTTCTGCCGAGCGCTTAGATAGAATGGCTATGCCTGTTGACCAGTTGCCCCATGATATAGAAGTTTCCTCTACTTCTGGTTTAGTTGGTCGATCCAGTGTGGTGTGTAGGACTAAGATGACTTTTAATGGGCGATCGACTTGGGTGAATATGATCAAATTACCTATGCAAGGGATTGATTTAATTATTGGTATGGATTGGTTGACAGCTTATGGTGCTGTCTTAGATTGTGTGGCTAAGACAGTGACTTTGGTAGAAGTACCGGAGGTGATCAAAGAATACCCTGGTCATTCTTGTTTTCTTTCTTCTTTACAAGTTGAAAGGTTGATTGAGCAGGGATGTGAGGCTTACGTGGTAGTGCTCGCTACCCAAGGGTCTGAGACAGGTATAGTGGATGAAATTGAGGTTGTTAGGGAGTTCCCAGAGGTGTTTTCTGAGGATGTATCAGGATTACCTCCAGAACGTGAGGTTGAATTCTCAATTGACTTGGTACCGGGGACTCAGCCAATTTCAAAGGCTCCCTATAGAATGGCTCCTTCAGAGTTAGCTGAGTTGAAGAAGCAACTTGAGGAGCTGTTAGATAAGGGATTTATTAGACCTAGTGTTTCTCCTTGGGGATCTCCTGTCTTATTTGTGAAGAAGAAGGATGGTAGTTTAAGATTGTGTATCGATTACAGGCAGTTGAATAAGGTTACGGTGAAGAACAAGTACCCACTGCCTCGCATCGATGATCTCTTAGATCAGTTGGTTGGTGCCACGATTTTCTCTAAAATTGATTTACGTTCAGGGTACCATCAGCTAAGAGTTAGTGAGAAGGATGTGGCAAAGACTGCTTTCAGGACTCGATATGGTCATTATGAGTTTTTGGTTATGCCATTCGGGCTGACTAATGCGCCTGCGGTTTTCATGGACTATATGAACCGCATTTTTCGACCTTTCTTGGATCAGTTTGTGGTAGTTTTTATTGACGATATACTGATCTACTCTAAAGATGAGGAGCAGCATGCCAGACACTTGAGGACTGTCCTAAGGTTTCTGCGAGATCATAAGCTATATGCCAAGCTCAGTAAGTGCGAGTTTTGGATGAGAGAGGTTAGGTTCTTGGGACATATCGTGTCGGCAAATGGTATTGCAGTTGATCCATATAAAGTTGAAGCAGTCATGCAATGGGAGAGACCAAAATCGATAACTGAGATCCGTAGTTTTCTGGGATTAGCAGGTTACTACCGGCGTTTTATCAAAGGTTTCTCTCAGATTTCTATGCCTTTGACTAGACTCACAAGGAAGGATAGGCCATTTATCTGGGATGATAAGTGCGAGACAGCTTTTCTTGAGTTGAAAGAAAGGTTAACAACAGCTCCAGTATTGGTGATTTCGGATCCTCAAAAGCCCTATGATGTGTATACTGATGCCTCTCATAAGGGTCTTGGTTGTGTTCTAATGCAAGATGAGAGAGCAGTGGCATATGCATCTAGACAACTTAGACCGCATGAGGAGAATTATCCAACACATGATCTCGAGTTGGCTGCGGTGGTCTTTGCGTTAAAGATCTGGCGTCATTATCTTTATGGAACAGAGTTCAGGGTCATGAGCGACCATAAAAGTCTCAAGTACCTGGTGGATCAAAAAGAGCTGAATATGAGACAGAGACGTTGGATGGAGTTTCTTAAAGATTATAATTTTGAATTTAAGTATCATCCGGGGAAAGCAAATGTGGTAGCAGATGCTCTTAGTCGCAAGACCTTACATGTAGCCTATTTAATGGTTCGGGAGCATAGATTGATGGAATCTTTGGTTGAAATTTTTTTGGGTATGACTAAGTTCTCTTTGAATGGTCTTAATACTATGGTTATTTCTAATGAATTTTGGAAAGAGATACGAGATGCTCAGCTTCAAGATCCGATTTTGTCAAAAATAAGTCAAGACATCGAGAATGGTGAGATAATGGACTATTGGTTTAGTGATGATGGGTATGTGGTTTTCAAGGATAGGGTGTGTATTCCTAACAATGAGTCTATTCGGAAGAAATTGTTGGATGAGGCACATCGAAGTAGCTACACCCTTCATCCCGGTGCTACTAAGATGTATCATGACATGCAGCGTCATTGGTGGTGGCCAGGCATGAAAAAGGATGTCACAGAGTATGTTAGTAAGTGTTTGACCTGTCAGAAGGTCAAAATAGAGCACCAAAAGCCATCGGGGTTATTACAGCCTTTGGAGATTCCTAAATGGAAATGGGAGAGTATTTCAATGGATTTTGTATCTGGTTTGCCGAGGACCCAGGCTAGTTTTGACTCTATCTGGGTAATTGTAGATCGTTTGACTAAGTCAGCACATTTCTTACCGGTCAAGACCACCTATACGGTTGATAGGTATGCTGAGATCTACATTAAGGAGATTGTGCGACTACATGGGGTACCGAGGGATATTGTTTCAGACCGTGATCCTCGGTTTACATCGAATTTATGGCAAGCTATGCAAAGGGCTATGGGTACAGATCTGAAATTTAGTACGTCTTATCATCCACAAACGGATGGACAAACTGAGCGGACGATCCAGACATTAGAGGATATGTTGAGGTCATGTGCCCTAGAGCTTCAGGGAAGCTGGGATAAGCATTTACCTCTGGCAGAGTTTGCTTATAATAACAGTTATCATGCCAGTATTCAAATGGCTCCTTATGAAGCATTGTATGGAAGACGATGCAGATCGCCTCTTTGTTGGTATGAGTTGAGTGAGAGGACAATGATGGGACCGGATGTGGTAGATGAGACCACAGAGAAAATCAAATTGATCCAACAAAAACTTCTTACAGCACAGAGTAGACAGAAAAGTTATGCAGATAATCGTCGTAAGGACTTGTCTTTTGAGATTGGGGATCATGTCTTCCTCAAAGTTTCCCCATTGACAGGCGTTGGACGCTCAATTCGGGCTAAAAAGTTATCTCCTCGATATATGGGTCCTTTTGAGGTTTTGAAGAAAGTTGGGCCGGTGGCTTATCAGTTGGCATTACCGCCTCAGTTAGCGGGTCTACACAACGTGTTTCATGTGTCACAATTGAAGAAGTACCAGCCAGACCCGTCGCATGTGATAGAACCTGAGGAGGTTGAAATTCAAGAGAATTTAACCTACCGGACTGAACCAGATCGTATTGTGGATGCTAAGGATAAGCAACTCAGAAATAAAACAATCCGGTTGGTAAAAGTGATTTGGAAAGGGACAGCTCCGGGAGATGCAACCTGGGAGACTGAGGATCAAATGAGGAAGGAATATCCACAGTTGTTTCCCTAGGTATGTTTATCTCTTTGGTTCATGTATTAGCTTGGATTTTGGGGACAAAATCCTTTTTAAAGGAGGGGAGAATGTAACATCCTAAAAATTTTAAGACTCAAATTTATTAAAAAAAATAAACAAAAATAAAATAAAATATCTATAATTAAATTAAAATTTAGAATAATTTAATAGAGGCCCAGAGTTCGAATTTTACTAAGCAAAAGTTTGGTTTTATTTGATTTTTAACTATGGGAAAAATTACCAAAGTTGACCCGGGCTTTTGTGCAATAATAAAAAATGTTGGGCCCTTTCTTGTAATTTTCCCCAAAGTTTTTGACCAGCATTTTAAGGAGCAAACTGATGCAGAAACGCAGAGAAAATGAGAAAGGAAGCAAACGCACAAACGGGAGAGAGAGAGAGAGGAAGAAGAGAAGAGAAAGGGAGGGAGTTAGGCTTGGATCTAGGAGTCTTTGCGACCGTTGCGAGCTCGGCTACACGATAGGTAAACTCCCTACTTCAATCCTCTTCTCTTTCTCTTGATTTTCTTCAATTTTTGGAAGAGGAAATTTTTGGATTTTGATCCCAAAGGCTTTATTCTTGTAAGCTTTTGTTTCTTTGGATTCTAGGGAGCATGTTTTGAGTTTCTATATAGTGATCTAATGTTTTGAGTGAATAATTGGATGAAAAGAGGTGTTTTGGGCACAAAATAAACCTTGAGAAATTGGGTTTTTGCTCCTCAATGGTTTAAGCCTATTGATTTAGTTATAATTTTGCTATTTGAGCCCAATAAGATTTAAATTAAGGTTTGGTTTTCATTATAAGGGCTAATGGTGAAAGTTGGTGGCACTAAGTAAAGGTTTTTAATTGATTAAAAAAATTATATAAATTGAAAATTAGCCTAGTGATGGCTAATAAATGGTTTTGGTGGTTAAGTGATACTATGTGAATGGTTGGTTTAATATATGGACCATTAGGGTGGATTATGACTCATTGACCTAAGTTGTGTGGTATAAGTTATAGTCTTCATTAATACTATTTGTCATGATAAGTGATGTGGATCACTTATATGTTGTAGAAAATTGTTGGTGGAACTTATTGAGAAGTAAGGAACAAGCCGAGCCCTATTTTGTACAAGGGGAACCCTTTTAGTACCAAAGGGTTGAGGTAACAGGGGAATTTATATTTCTTATTACTTTGTTTTAGCTATTTTTGAATAAATATTACTAGTTATCATGCATTACATGTTTTAAAAGATTAAATGTGCTTTATAAGGGGTTATGGGGTACTACTTTGATTATAGTGCAAATATGTTTTCTAATTGTTTAATAACAATGTTTTTATGGAAATGAGATTTATAAATATTATACTACTTTAGAGTGTTGAATGGTCAATACTCAGGAAAGGTAGACAAGAGTAAAAGGCATGATCTCGGTGGGAGTTCACCAATGAGAAGGTGTGGATTTTTGATATTCTATGGCACACTGTCAGTACTCAGTGTTGTCTTACGTATTGTGGGCTCAGTGCACTAAAGTGGTTAGTGTATTGAGTGTTCGACACCTCTCAGTGGGGGAGGGAATCCGACATATGAAGTGTGAGGTTGAGTGCCTAGGCCAAGGTAGCCCTCACATGGAGAGTAAGTCGGGCTGGCTCTGGGAGGGAGTTAGCTTTGACTGCTCAGGATTCACGTCGAAGGGGCATAGGCGGTTCGGTGGATTAGATCATGCCTTAGATTATGTTTTGTGCCTGTGGAGGTACAAGTAGGTATAAGGTTTACCTGCGAGTTAAAGAGTGCCAGGGGGCATTCTGTTGGTCATGAAAGGCCATACCGGCCTAGGTCATGCATTCATGCATTTTAAATGGCTAAATTATATACTATGTTGAATTTATTATTCATTTATTTAATTATGGCTTACTTTGTAATAATCAATATAGATTTCACTGTTACTGAGACTGTGGTTGTCTCACCCCTTTCTTTTCAATATTCTAGGTCCAGGCGAAGGATCCAGTGGTGGACGGGGAAAAGAGCAAAGCTAGGGGTTTGCTTGTGATTTGTAAAGAACTGCAACCCCTTTCTTTTGAGCAAATATATTGTAATGTATTTAAGATTAGGGTGCCAGTAGGATATGATTATGTGTGTGTGTGTGAATATGTGTGGATTGTGTGCTTGTGTATGAATTTTTGTCTGTTTGCAGACTTGTGGCTAGGAAACTTGGTTATGGTGTGTGGTTTTGATGGATTTACTTAGTAGACCAAGTTTCTATTACAAGCAGATCTTTATTTTGATATATATGTGATTTTATAAGCAAATGCAAAGTGGTTGCATTGCAAATGGTGTGCTATGGGAAAACATACAGCTTGGATAGAGAGAGTGGGTGCGTGGGCCCCACAAGGAGCTCTGAGCCAAGTGAAAATGTTTAGCATATGTATTTATATAAATACATGGTATTTGGATTGATTTGTGACCACTCTTGTATGATTTGTGCATTTTGGGGGTTTAGGGTCCATTTTAGGAAATGGCACCCGGGTGGTCAAATTTTGATGTATGGGGGTTTTCCATCATTTGAATGTTCTATCAAGTGTTTTTAATCTTATTTGACGTGTCCAAAGTGTTTCCACAGGTTTGTGACCATTAGGATGGGATTTGGACAATTTTGAAAATGGTTTTTACCAAAAAGCTGCACTTTTGCATCCGGGTGTCCAAATCTTAATCCGACCGTTGGATTTCTCTAAAATTTGGGTCACAAGTAAAACCTTTTATAAGCTTCGTGTGGGCTTTGGAATCACGTCGATCGGATATCGGACGGAGAAACGACGCACTCCGGAATTTGGTCTGGAGGTGCTGTCATGACAGCATTAAATTGCTGTCATGACAGCTACAGTATTGATTTTGTAACCTGCACAAAATTCAATCCGTCCGTTGGATCTTTTCAAAATTTAGTATGCTAATAGTATTCTTTAAAAGTGACATGTGGGCTTTGGAATCACTCCGATCGGAGGTCAGATGATGAAATGGTGCACTCCGGAAGTTGGTCCGGAAGTGCTGTCATGACAGCTTTTTAGCTGTCATGACAGCAAAAATAGTCAATCTTTTAACATGTCTAATTTTTAATCCGACCGTTGGATCTTTTTGAAATTTGGTACACTTATAGTACCCTTTGAATGTGACGTGTGAGCTTTAAAATCACTTCAATCGGAGGTCGAATGACGGAACACCGCCTCCTGGAAGTTGGCCCAGGAGGGCTGTCATGACAGCAATAAATTACTGTCATGACAGCATCTTTTTATTCCATTTTCGTCTAACTTGCTTCCGTGCGCTATAGGTAGAACCTATAATTATTTTTAAGGTTTTAAATGATTTATTTCTTAAGTTGGTTAGAGGATCAACTCCTTAACCACACTTTGTTTGTTTGAATTATGTGATTTTTGGATAACACTCAAGGCAAGTGTTACAAAAAGAGTCTCTATACCACATGCTGCGACGGATAGGTATTGTAGCATTAGTTGCGGCTGATGAACTTTCAATCACAGCAGACATGGATAGTCTAGTTTGAATAACTGCTTTGGTCTTATTCTATTTCTTTGCAATGCTCTTTCTAGTGTTTCGTGTTTCTACATATTTCTACAATATGTTTCCTTAAGAAAATACTTTCAAAAGATTTTCAACTAATTTCTAGGATCCATTTTCAAGGTTAATCTGTTTAAGTTAATTATCGCTAGAAGCCTAGGTTGATCCTTAAAATAAAGGGTTGTCAGTTAATAGAATTTAATTAGAGGTAATGACGAAGTTCACCACACAAGTCACACTAAAGATTGTATCCATTTACTCTACCAAGATTAATCCAGGCTCTTGATTGCCTCAGTACAATCCCAAACTGCACATTTGATTTATTCCCCCTTACAAAGATAATAAATTAACCCTCTTAAGCTCCCTAAACTTAAGTACTCAATTTCAAGTAGTAAAAATAAGGATAAACAAAATATGTTTAAAAATAAACAACTACTATTAAAAACTTTCTCTAAAATTGGATGTACAATCAATGAAGTTTAAATACAAAGAATATGATCATAGAAGGTTGGTAAGAAATTGAATGGGTAAGTTTGTGCAATAACTATAAATGTGTCTATTTATAGTTGGATATGATTAATGATCCGTTAGACTCTTCTTTTCCTCTGAGCTTCTTCAAAAATAAGGCAATGGCATAGTACTTTTCGATGGAGTTGCATGCTCACAATAAGTAAAGAAAATAAAGACTATATGCATTTAATACTTTGACAAAAGGTAGGTAAGTTAATACCAATAGAGCCAAATGCAATACGAGTATAAAAAAGAGTAAGAGATTTGATAAGTGTTTGATTCTATCCAAGATTGTGTTTAGATGGTTTCTAGAAAGGTAATAAGGCCAGCATAATACAAAAAAACTAGGAAATAAGTTAGACTCAAAGGCCTTGTTTGGTATGTAAACTTTAATTTAAAGAGATTGGGATTAGAATTGGGATTGAGATTGGTAGTGAGAATGGGATTTTAAAATTATGTTTGATGAGTAATATTTTTAGGAAATACTTTCTTTTATTTTAGTTTATAATTAAATATAAACTATAAGAAGACTATAATACCCTTAGAATAAAAAAAAATTATAACTCACTCATCTAACACAATCACCCACCTTCCCCACAAAGAGCACGACAGTTTTGCAATAGTGCCATCTTCCACCCTAGCGTTCAGATATTCAAGGAAGGAATACAAGGAATCACCCCCCTTTCATGCACTTCTCAAATTTAGCAACAAAAGTAGTGGAAGTGAAAGAAGACGAAGAGGAGACTTTCATAGTAAATTGAGTCGCACTCGCTCCCTTATATTTTTTCGATCTTCCACTGATCTAAATGAAATTGCTTTAACCCAAAACATGAAAGTTAAAGACTTGAATGATTATTATTCCAACAAGCTAAAAAAGTGGGTGTCATTCTAGAAGGGCTTACCAGATTGAGGATCTGAGATGCGACGACAATGACTGAAGGTGGTTGCCATGGGTGGATGATGGTGTTGCTAGCACAGCATCACTAGCAAGGGGGGAGGATGGTGTTGCTGGCACAGCGTTGTCGACAAGGGTGAAGGACAGTGTTGTTGATAAGGGTGGAGGACAGCATCGTCAACAAAGTTAGAGACAAGGGAGGGGATGGAGTAAGGATCAATTTGGTTTGGAAAATTTCAATCCTGAGATTGATTTTTCAATACCAAGAAAGAGGTGGTATTGGGTAGTCCCACCTAGATGGGATTGGACTTGACATTAAATTTTTCATTCTCACCTATCAAACATAAAAACTTGGCATTATTCATTACCAATACTAGTCCCACTCTATCATTTCTTCATACCAAACAGGCCCAAGGCTCACAAGTTTAGGAAAGAAGAATAAAGCAGAAGTACTCATATTAGTACTAAGAATTTTAGTACTGGTATAAAAGGATAACTAAGGTAACAACGCTTGATATCGATATTAGAAACATGAGTACTGGTATAAGAGACAATATGAGAAGCAATAAAGTAGTACAAGTATAAGTGATAATCAAAGGGTGTAGGGAGCTCATTATTGGTATTAGCTAAACAGTATTGGTATTAATAGCAAAAAATCTTCCAAGTGTAGAGAAGTTTTAGTGTTATAAAACAACTAAGAAAGAGAGTTTAAATCCAATTGAGATACATCTCAAGGAACAAGGTTTGTGACAAAATAAGCCTTAAAAGATTCTGGGCAAAGTCAAATACTTCTCCCACCAAAAAATACAAGAAATCAAGGCTTAGAAATTAAGAAAGTTCATACTCATACCAGTATAAGCAAAGTAATACGGATAAAAAGACTTAAAAGAAATAAGAGTTAGAGATTAATGCGTATAAGTCCAGTTATTCATAATTGCTATTAAATTTCTCTGTTAAACAAAGTTTTTCCTATTTTATAATCATCAAAATCAAGATTCAATAGAAGCAACCTCTTTTGTTTATTTTTCTGTAATATTTTTGAAAAATATTCAGAAAGGACCATTAGTAAAGCATTAAAACTTTACTTAAGAGTGCAACATGTGTGAACTAGTAGTTTGAGAGACGGTTTGTGAGCATTAAGTGAAAGCCAAAGTAGAAGTTAACTGTGTTTTATTAATAATAAAAAAGAATTCAAGTATTCAAGTTAAACTTATTTTAGTTTGAGCTTATTCAGACGGCCAAAATAACTTGAAATAAAGAAAATTTTTAAATTTCCAAACCCAATTCTAAGATTTTTCAAGCTAACTCATTAAGCTTGACTTAAATTGCTGACTCTAACTCTTGGTTATGAAAAGTTAAATATTTTTATAGATAACCAATTTTTTTATAATATATCTAAATATTTTATAATTTTTAATTAATTAAAATTAAATCAAATAATTTTCTATTAATGAACATGGAATTGTGGCTTTACAAAAAGGAAGGGAAAAATAGAGAGAAGGGGGAAAATATTGAAAAGGATCATATTGTTCTTTTACAGATAAATGGAGAGTGAAATGTACTTAAGGTGAACACCATCAAAAGTTTTACCAGACAAACTCCACTTATCATTGCCTCTGTACACTAAGATTTAAGAAATATTACCAAGGAAAAAATTAAACCCTTTATAGTATGTTTACCCCAATTTTAAATTATGTAGTTGGTAGTTTGTTATGTTTAAACTCATTAATAAAATAAGCTATATCCCTTAATTGTGCTAATAGGCGTCCCTAACTTTTCTTGAATCTTCCAAAGAGAAAATACATATATATATATATAGTTGCTGTCAATTGTTCTTAACTCAGTGCGAGCACACCAATATTTTCCAATTTCATAATCAATATCTCGCGCTCAATCATGCCACTTCACTATTTTGCTGACCACTTTGAAAGCAACCATTGCGTTAAGTCATTGTCATTGTTCCTAAAGTCTTCATCAAGCCTAAAAATTTTGTCCCTCTTTTAGTTTGACTGACTTTCACAAGCTTCCCCGTCTTGTACATGAAGCTGCTTTCCATCTTCACCCAACCCAAATATTTTTAAAAAAAAAACAAAATCTAGAAAATCATTAAATAATGTTTAGAACATTGAAACTTAAAATAAGGTTACATGATATT